CAGCCTAAACAAGAGTGAGACCCCATCTCTACTAAAAATAGAAAAATTAGCCAAGTGTTGTGGTGGGCACCTGTAGTCCCAGCTACTCCAGGGGCTGAGGCAGGAGGATTTTTTGAACCCAAGAGTTTGGGGTTGCTGCAAGCTAGGCTGACACTACTGCACTCCAGCCTGGGCCACAGAGTTAGACCATGTGTCAAACAAACAAAAATATATACATATATACATACAGCATGTGTGTGTGTGTGTATAAACAAAGAATAAACAATACTTAAAAGTATTTTAGCACAACAAAATGATTATAATTGACAATAAGGGTATGCTTCAAAATATATAAAAGAAAGGAATTGGAATGTTCCTGACACAAATGTTAAATATTTCAGGTGAAGGATACTCCTATTGCCCTGACCTAATTCACGTTATAAGCCTATATCAAAACGTCACATGCACCTCATAAAGATATACAACTATTATGTACCCATAATAATTAAAAATTAAAAAATTTTAAGTCAACTTCAAAAAATTTTTTTGAATCACAATCTCTCATTGAACTGGTTAATTATCTAACAACTTCATCGAAAACATTTAGGGTGGTTCTGCCATTTTCTTTAACCAAAAGGAAAACGACTTTGAATTTTTTAAAACATAAAGCAGCCCAGGGCAGAAGCTCATGGCTGTAAATCCTAGCATTTGGGAGGCTGAGGTAAGAGGACCACTTGAGCTCATGAGTTCAAGACCAGCCTAAGCAAGATTGAGACCCATTTTTACTAAAAATGAAAAAAACTGAGGCAAAAGGATCTTTTTTTTTATTTTTTTTGAGACAGTCTCACTATGTTGACCTTGGTACAGTGCCATGGCATCACAGCACACAGCAACCTCAAACTCTTGGGCTTAAGCAATTCTCCTGCCTAAGCCACCTAAGTACCTGCAACTACAAACACCCAACAATGCCTGGCTATTTTTGTTGTTGTTGTAGTTGTCATTGTTGTTAGCAGGTTCAGCTGGGTTCAAACCCACCAGCCCCAGTGTATGTGGCCAGCACCTTAACCTTTGAGCTATGGGGGCAAAGCTGGCAAGAGGGTCTCTTGAGCCCAAGAGTTTGAGGTTGCTGTGAGCTATGTCACCACAGCACTCTACCTAGGGAGACAAAGTGAGACTCTGTCTCAAAAATAAATAAATAAAATAAAAATAAAAATAGAAAAACTAGCCAGGCATCCTGACAGGCACCTACCGTCTCAGCTACTGGGGAGGCTGCGGCAGGTGGACTGCTTGAATCCAGGAGTTTGAGGTTGCTGTGAACTGTGATGACGCCATGGCACTCTGTCCAGGGGGACAGAGTGAGACATGGTCTCACTAAACAAATAAATAAAGACATAAAGCAAAACAAAATTATTAAATTCAATAAACAATACCTATAGTTGAAAACACATTAATCTTCTCCATCTCTCAGGGAGCACTGTAAAGCAATCAGGAAAACATTACTTAGCATTATACTTGTACCTTGACTTTACAAAATATATTCCAGAGTTGTCCACAAACATTTAAAAATCATTGATCACCATAAAACCAAAAAAAGAGCAGAAAGGTTTTTGGGTTTGATTTGCTTGAGGTAAACATGTAAAAATTATGCCTACAGTATTTATATAATCAAAAGGTTCTGACGAGAGGTGGCACCTGTGGCTCAAAGGAGTAGGGCACCAACTCCATATACCGGAGGTGGCGGGTTCAAGCCTGGCCCCCAGCCAAAAAACTGCAAAAAAAAAAGGTTCTGATGACACAGAGCAAGTGGGGATTTTGGACTCACTTTAAGAAAAAACTATAGGCTCGGCACCTATAGCTCAACCGGCTAGGGCGCCAGCCACGTACACCTAAGGTGGCGGGTTCGAATCCCCAGCCCGGACCTGCCAAACAACAATGACGGCTGCAACCAAAAAATAGCCGGGCGTTGTGGCGGGCGCCTGTGGTCCCAGCTACTTGGGAGGCGGAGGCAGGAGACTCGCTTGAGCCCAGGAGTTGGAGGTTGCTGTGAGCTGTAATGCCACTGCACTCTACCCAGGGAGACAGCTTGAGGCTCTGTCTCAAAAAAAAAAAGAAAAAACTATAGATGTACAAAAATTACTTCAAGGGCAGCATCTGTGGCACATTTGGTAGGGCACCGGCCCCATATACTGAGGGTCGTGGGTTCCAACTCAGCCCCGGAAAAACTGCAACAAAAAAATAGCTGAGTGTTGTGGTGGGCACCTGTAGTCCCAGCTAATCAGGAGGCTGAGGCAAGAGAATTGCCTAAGCTCAAGAGCTGGAAGTTGCTGTGAGCTGTGATGCCACTGCACTCTACTGAGGGTGACAAAGTGAATCTCTGTCTCTAAAAAAAAAAAAAGTTACTTCAGTGAACCACAAATAATACTTATTTCAGCTATAAGTAATAAAGTTCTTATTTCAAAATCAAAATACAAAAAGTACTGGCTCAACGTAAAATCCAAAAAGAAAAATTAGAATTTTTTTGCTTCTTGGAAAAAATACTGAAGATGAGGTAAACTATTAAATTGTAATGCATCATCCTAGCATTTGAATGACTTAATTTTCAAGCTGTTACCCTTTTTAAAAAGCCCTTCAAAGCCACCAAAGGTATTGTTGAAATAGTGAATGTCATACACTGAAACTAATAATTATTACAAATCTTCAGTTTATTTGAAACAATTCAGTTTCAAAAACTTTAAGTTACAGTAGACACAGAAAAAAACAAGGAACAGTCAGAAACAATAAAAGAATAATTAAGAGTACTGCATTTTTTGTTTTTAACACTGTCATGGCTTTATTCAAAACACAGTTGCACAAAGTATTAACTCCAAAGTTTTTAAGGAGAGATTCTGAAGAAACTTAACGTACTATATACATACTGCCATACAAAGAGCATTAAAATAGGACCAAAAACCTCTACAAGATATAAAACCCACCCTTATTTGCATGAAAATACCACCTGCAAAGCTAAATAAGTTTTAAAAGTTATCAGGAGGCTCTAAATGTTGTTTTCAAACCAAAGAACTCTAATTTTGATTGCACAGTAAGATAATTGATAAGAAAGTCAATATATAGATTTCATTTTAAAAATAAGTATTTTATAATCTGGCATAGTATGGATGCAATGAAAATTCTTAAGGACTACAACAGGCATTTGAATTTCTAAAATCAGAAGAAAAATGTTAGTCTTTTGGAGATTCCAATCCCCATGCTACTAAACTTATCCTAAGTGTTTTATTTCAGTCAGTTATACAACGTTTTTAGTTTCTCCACAACTAATTTCAAAATCTTTACTTTAAAACACCAAGTCATACATTTTAAACTAAAAAAGCAGCAGCAGTAGTATACTCAGTAATTTAAATGTATCCCAGTATAGAAGCGTAATTTCAATTAATTTGCTGATACTAACATTTTAAAAATTTACAGATATTCAGAACAAAGTGAAAAAATTTTAGATAACCAAGACTAAAAAAGCAATTGCCTTGAACACAGAGCCTCCATGACAAAAAGGGAGATGTAGTTGTCTACTCATTATATTTTATTTAGTAGCCATATAAGGAAACACACACACTTATCCCAAATATTTTTCTATTTTTAATGGACATCCACTTAAAAACAAATCCTAATTTTAATACCAATTTAGTTTGAAATATTTTTCCTACTGCCTAATATATTCGAATTAAATGCTATAGTTCATGTTTTAAAACATTAGGAATAATTAAAGGTTCTACTCAGGAAAATCAGAAATACTTTGCAGAGAGATATCCAAATCATCTAAGAAGCCAACTTAAACATTTGACTTGAATGTCTTATTGTCAACAGGCAATTGTTCTGACTTTTGAGGAACACTAATGCTGTTTCCAAAAGCCTCCCTTGCTTTTCTTTTTTATTCCTATTAATACAGTCTAAGATGTTATTGACTAAGAAAGATTTACAGTAAGCAGAGCTTGTTGCATAAAACTATATTGATATATTTGAAGCTCAGAAAATACTCAATTATTTTCACTTTGCTTATTTAAAACTCAGATCTGAAAGAGTGGTTAAGGTCTAAGACTAAAGATTTTCCTAGGTATCCACAAGCTTCTCAACTTTCTTCTAAGATAGAGGGAAGGAAGTAGACAAGGGAAGGTCATCATAAAAGAACTGCTGAGCAGGGCGGCACCTGTGGCTCAAAGGAGTAGGGCACGAGCCCCATATGCCAGAGGTGGTGGGTTCAAACCCAGCCCTAGCCAAAAAACTACAAAAAAAAAAAAAAAAAGAACTGCTGAGAAGAAAAAGAATGCACACCTAAACACAAAACAAAATAAACAACCATTGGTATGTCATGATATGTAGCCTGAAGAAAGGCCTTACCTGCCTATCTCTGGACTTAGCATAAGCAATTTTTCCTTCAAAACAAAAATCTTTTCAGTCACCACAAAATCCATGAACTATATTGCTGAATAGAACCTTTACTATTCTGCTTCTACATTCTAAGTTACTCATGTGACCAAAAAAGCACTCAAATACTCTTAAAAAATAAAAGTCATTGCCTTCAAACTAAAGATCTCTAGATCATCTCTAAAAAAAATAACCAGGTTGGGCATGGTGGCTCACGCCTATAATCCTAGCACTCTGGGAGGCTGAGGCAGATAGGCTGCCTGAGCTCAGGAGTTCAAAACCAGCCTGAGCAAGAGTGAGACTCCATCTCTACTAAAAATAGAAAAACTATCGGGCGTTGTGTCTGGCGCCTATAGTCCCAGCTACTTGGGAGGCTGTGGCAAGAGGATCCCTTGAGTGCAAAAGTTTGAAGTTGCTGTGAGCTATGATGACGCCACAGTGCTCTACCCAGGATGGTAGAATGAGACTGTCTCAAAAAAAAAAAAAAAAAAAAAAATCCATCATTCAAGAGACTACTATCATTTCATATTACTACTGACTGTAATTTCAATTAATTTATAAATAACTTTAAAACCTTATAAATGAAATGCACCATACTACACCTGTGTAAAAGTGATCATGTTTTAATTATGGGCTAAAATAACTAATACAATGAGTTTGAATTAGAAAAATTAAGATTCTAAATAAATTGCTGGGGAATTTCACAATTGGGGGGGGTCAATGAAAAATTTTCTCTACATACAATATAATCACTAACAGACTAATAAATCTTATTTGGAATGATAAGGCAAAAATAGTAAAACCACACTTTTCCTATAAAAAGTTACACATTATCTTCTGTAGGGACAACTATCATACATGGAGAAACAAAGAAGATGCGATCACTCTATTGCACATCCAGGAATATTAGGGAATCTGGTCTTAGAATGACCTAGTCATCTTCTTCCTCTCCATCATCTTCAGCATCTCGTTTCCTCTTCTCCCCTCGAAGACTTTCTTCTTCTAAAAGAGTAGAAGGAAAAGAGTAGAATAATCAGTTTTAACAAGTAGATATTTGTTAAGTTATGAAGTTTAGAATCTTAATGAAAAATTAATGACAAAAGAAAATGTTAAGTTTCCTCTCTGAATTTCCTATTTTTTTTTCCTTTTGATACATGGTCTCACTCTGTTGCCCATACTAAAGTGCTAGAGTGTAGTGGCATCACTATAGCTCACTGCAACCTCAAATTTCTGAGCTCAAGCAATTATTCTGCCTCAGCCTGCCAAATAGCACCACCATGCTTAACTGATTTTTTCTATTTCTTGGTAGAGATGAGGTCTCACCAGTCTCACCAGTCTCACCATGCTGTTGAGGCTGGTTTTAAAGTCCTATCCTCAAGTGACTCTCCTGCCCTAGACTCCCAATGCTAGGATTACAGACATATGCTACTGCACCCAGACTCCTCTCTGAATTTCTTTCAATGTCTATGTGATAGACTTATAAATCCATAAATAATGACAGCTTACTATGCACCCTTGTGGCCAAATCATGAAGAACAGGTCAAGAAACAGAACTTGACAAAAATAGAATTGTTAGTAAATTTTAAAGGTTATTTTGAAAGATCGAGATAAACAATAGCACAGAGTAAATTTTAAAAGGCATTATCTGGAATTCACCTATTCTTCTCCTATAAATAGAGATTCACTCTCTCCAAAATGAGACCCTTAAACAAATAATAAATTGAGCTCAAGTTTCCATTAATGTCTATATTCCTGTTTTTAACATAAATTTCAGAGGCTTGGCGCCCATAGCTCAGTGGTTAGGGCACCAGCCACATACATCAAGGCTGGTGGGTTTAAACCTGGCCTGGGCCCGCTAAATAACAATGACAACTGCAACAAAAATATCGCTGGGTGTTGTGGCGGGCACCTGTAGTCCCAGCTACTTGGGAGGCTGAGGCAAAAGAATCACCTAAGCCCAGGAGTTAGAGGTTGCTGTGAGCTGTGACATCGCAGCACTCTACGGAGAGCTATAAGTGAAACTCTGTCTCTACAAAATAAATAAATAAATAAATAAAATTAGAATAGAAGAAAACAGCTTGGAGAACACAAGATGATGTCTCTATAAAAAAAATTAAAAACTAGCAAGTATGGTGATGCACACCTGTAGGTCCTGGCTCCTTTGGATGCTGAGGCAGGAGAATCCATAAGCCTAGGAGTTTGAGGGTACAGTGAACTATAATCATGACACTGCACTCCAGCCTAGGCAACAGAGCAAGACCCTGTCTCTAAATAAATTAATTAAAATATATGTTACAAACGTTTTATTTTTTAATGGAATTAATGAAATGTCCTGAGACAATTAATCTTTAGAAAACTCTTATACCTTTTAAGCACTCTACAATAAACAAAGCAAAATCAAAGGATCAATAATAAACTTGCTAGATTTATTCTTTAAAGTCTAGGAAAGGCTTAGCTCTTATAACTCAGCAGGTAGGGCACCAGTGACATACACCAGAGCTGGCAGGTTCGAAGCCAGCCTGGGCCTGCCAAATAAGAATAACAACTACAACAAAAAAATAGTTGTTTGTTGTGGCAGGTGCCTACGTTCTAGCTACTTGGAAAACTGAGGCAAGAGAATTTCTTAAGCCCAAGAGATTGAGGCTGCTGTGAGCTGTGATGCCATGGCACTCTACCAAGGGTACCATAGTAAGACTCTGTCTCAAAAAAAAATAAAAAATGAATAAAGTCTAGGAAAAGTATAGCTCTGTCTTTAATCTTAGAACTTGTCTATGGCCAGTGTAACTCACCCTCTTCTTCCTCTTCTTCTCCTTCTTCAACATAGTCATCATCATCTTCTTCATCCTTGAAATTCAAATATCCAGTTTGAGAATGAATAAACAATGACACCACTTTTTCATTGCTTATTCCAATAAGAACAAGAAACTATGGTGATTTTGTGTTCTGACAACCTCTGTCTACCTTATATATTACATAGCTCCCTTAAAAATCCAACTAAATCTCTAGTTTTTTATGAAAATAAATTATGCTTCAGACCAGCACTATTCAAAAGAATGTTCTGTAACAGTGGAAGTACAGTAGAACCTCTGTAAGCTGACCTTCCACGAAACTGACAACAAACGGTCAACATAAGGAACTAGGCCTCAGTACATGTGGTGCATGTCCAGTTAACACAAATTAAGTCAACTTAAGAAGGTAGTTTTGGCACCCAAACTCAGTGGTTAGGGTGCCGGCCACATGCACTAGGGTTGGTGGGTTCGAACCCGGCCAGGGCCTGCTAAACAATGACAACAACAACAAAATAGCCGAGCGTTGTGGAGGGCGCTTATAGCCCCAGCTACTTGGGAGGCTGAGGCAAAAGAATCGCTTCAGCCCAAGAATTTGAGGTTGCTGTAACCATGGCACTCTACTCAGGGCGACATAGTAAAACTCAAAAAAAAAAAGAAAAAAGGAGGTCAAGGTAAGGATGTGGTCAGCTATGG